TCTCTCTCTCTCTCTCTCTCTCTCTTTATCTATACAGTTCTAGCAGTCGTGCATAAAACTCTTAGGAAATACATGGGTGTTTGGCGGGTGCTCTGGTGTGGTTTGCTCCTTTTTTCCTTTTAAACATCTATCGTCCTTATCTCGACTTTCTTCTTTTTTGTGTTGTTACTGTTACTCTCGTGTAACACCTTCAATCCTCGGCACTTATGAGTATATATGACGTAATTGGGTTGCCAGTGCCGTAAAAGTCTTACTACCCCCCCCCCCTCCCACAACCCAAATGGGCTGTGCTTTTGACTGAAGTGTCTTTAGACCATTCTCAAAGGCGGGATTTAAAATGTTCTTATGCACATTAGAATTGTAAATGGGCTGATTTATCAATGTCATGCTCATACTGCGCCAGAACAACATAGGGGGAACTGCTGCTTTTTCTTCCCTCTTCCTTACTATCGTCATTTTCCTCTACTTGCTTCTTATGTTTGTCACTCTCTTGCGAACTGCTATTTACAGGGTGCCTTGATAGTCGAAGCAGACTTTGTGCTGTTGAGGCTAGAGAGGAGAGCAGAGTAAGCCCGATTCCTCGTTTGGACTTCTCCGTTGACACCCACTCTTTGGCGCTTATGTGACCTTATGCAGTTATGAGCGCCGTAAACCCTTACTAAAACAAAATCTTACTAAAAAGTTACTAATACACCCCCCGCCCCTCCCCTCCTCCAACCCCTCCCCAGGCCGCCCGATGTGTCAACCCTAACGTTCTCCGCTACATCCTGGAGCAAGGCGTCGACCCAAACGGTCCCCTGGGGGCTGAAACTAACGGCCTCCTGCTCTACGCCGCTGCCATGAATAGTGCGTGCGCCGTGCGACTCATAATAGCCGGTGGCTTTCGTTTTGAGGACTATTCCGAGTACTGGTGAGTGTACTGTTGGTTATGAAGACATGTGCTATAGAGCATACATAATGCTTTCTGACAGACAGACAGACAGACAGACAGACAGACAGACAGACAGACAGAGACACACACAAACACACACACACACACACACACACTCACCTGTCCCTCTCCAAGGCTACAGTATGATGGTAGTGTTCAGGTAACAGAGATGGCCTACGACGGGTGACTGGTGGCATGTACTCATTCCCAGACACTCGCTCTCGGAACTCCCGGCTCTGCTCAGCAGCCTGAGAAGGATAAAAACATGGACAAGTCTATTAGTTTTTTGTTTTAGTAAGAGTTTTACGACATTTGCAACACAATAAGGTCAATCAAGTGCCAAAGATTAGAGGTGCTACAAGAGAATAACAAACACAAAAAAGGAGAGATCCGATAAAGACGATAGATATTATTTTTCTGTTTTTAGTAGGTGTTTAACGGCACTTGCAACACAATAAGGTCATTTAAGTGCCGAAGAATAGATTATGTATTATAAGAGAGTGACATACAAACAAGTCTTTCAATGATAATACATGTACACTTTGTGGACTGAAAAGAGAGAAGTTTTGTTTTAGTAAGAGTTTCAAACAATAAGGTCATATAAGTGCTGAAGATTAGAGGTGCTACAAGAGAGTAGCTAACACAAAATAGGAGGAGAGATTTTTTTTAGCAGAGGTTTTACGGCGCTTGCAACTGAATAAGGTCGTATGAGCGCCAAGAGAGTAACAAACATAATAAAGAAGACAAGGAGATAAGGACGATAGATGTTAGTTTAAGTAAGAGTTTCGCGGCCACTCAACAAGGTCAAATAAGTGCCGAAGAATAGATTAGAGGTGATACAAGAGAGCAGCAAACAAAAAAAGGAGGAGAGATAAAGACGACAGACTTTTTTTTTTTTAGTAGAGGTTTCAGGGCACTTACAGCACAATAAGGTCATATAACTGAAGTGCCGAAGATTAGAGGTGTTGCAAGAGAGTAGCAAACATAAAAAAGGAGAGATAAAGACGATAGATGTTTGATAGGAAAGAAGGAGCAAACCACACCAGAGCACCCGCCAACCACCCTACACGGCATTTTGCACCACAATAAGGTCATAGAAGTGCCAAAGAATAGATTGTTTTGTCTGTTTGTTTAAATAGAGGTTTTACGGCGCTCGCAACTGCTTAAGGTCATATATGAGCGCCAGAAGATTAGAGGTGTTACAAGAGAGTAACAAACATAAAAAAGAAGAAGGGGAAATAAGGACGATCGATATTTGATAGGAAAGAAGAAGCAAGCCACACCAGAGCACCCGCCAACCACCCACAAAGAATAGATTATGTGTTAGAAGAGAGTAACATACAAAAAAAGAAGGAGGGGAGATAAGGACGACAGATGTTCGATAGGAAAGAATGAGCAAAGTCTTTCAATAATAATATACAATTTGTGGACTGAAAATAGAGAAATATATCGACACAATAAGGTTCATTTGGCCTGGAACTATGTTTTGCTACGCAGCGGGGAAG